TTTTTTTTTTTTTTTTTTTTTTGAGTAGTCTCAGAGGAGAAGCAGAAAAAAAACATCTACATTGTAAGAATCAAAATCTGAGTGTTGCTCTCTGGCTTGTCATCATGGAAACCTTCAGCTAAGCATCATTTGAGGTATCTGTTAAGGTAAAACCCTTCAGGACAGGAGCTCTTAAGGCAAAGGAAGCATTTCTTCATCCTGCGTTTTAAAGAGCAATTAATGCAGTAATGAAAATGTCAGTGAAAAATTTAAGTGAAGAAGATCTCAAAAAAATCAAAACCTTAATGAAACTAAGGAAGATGAATGTGAAATGAAAATATAGAGTCATAAATTTGATTACCTCAAAATGGAACAAAAGTTTTTGGATGGTAATGTGGCACAGTTGCTTGTGAGTGACATTTCCAGGGCATGTGCCAGGGTCTGGGGAAAGGAATGGTTATCTGCATAGAGAATTTTATGTCCTGTCTTAAGGAGGTTTCTGCTCCTCTTTGTTAAGAACTACCATGCATGCTCTAACCAAAGAATGAAAAATATGGGAGCTGATTTTCCTTGTTTTTCCCCATGCCATTTACATTTGTGTAGAGCAACCATTAAAGACTACCAAATTACCATTTGACTTTCTTGACAATAAGGGTTTTTTTTAAAGCACCAGAAAAGTGAATAATTATACTTGGCTTAAGAAATGTAGCTTCCTCCCGCTTACAATGATACTCTAACTGCAGGACTCATTTAGCTATGAAAAATAATAAATACGGCCTAGATATATAGTAATTTTTATGACAAGAGGAGGAACTTCTTGATAAATTGGATGAAAAGCAGCATTTCACAAACAGGAATTTTTGCTTTTTCTTCTTCCATGTACATTCATAGGCATCCTACGCAAAAGGAAGAAAAAACATGGGAAACGAACCTTAACAGTCCAGGCTGTGAACACAGAGCACTTGTTACACTGAGAAGTTTTTCAGGTATGTTTGGGTCACAGGCCAGAGGGGGTGTATGATGTGTCCTTACCCTGCACTGTGCAGACGAGACAGCTCATTTTATGTTTACCTTGAGCTACACTCTGAGAGACAACCCTACTGTGTAGGCAAGCTACTATTTGACCTACATAGGAGTCACACAATCTGGTTCACAGCTTGCAGTATCTGAGTTGTGGCAAATGTAGCAGGAAGCTTTAGAAAACCCCTTGTTTAAAGCAAAAGTTTTTAGTAGTTGTTCACACCTGAACATGAACCTGTAAACAACAGGCAGCTCTCCTCAGGCATGAACTGCCACTTGCCCAGAAAGTCTGGCCAGTGGCAGATGCCAGCAATCCACTGCCTGTGCTATAGAAACTCTGGATTAACTACAGGTAGCCTATTGCACACAAAATTTACTGAAGTAGACTTTTGATATATGGGGTAGTGTATGCATCTGTTATTTTGCCTGTGCTTGAAAAATATTTAACTGTGCATTTGAGCCTCTGATTTTTTTAATGATGACTTTCTAAATGAATGACTGAGCAAATATAGAATCACAACAGGCGCTGTGAGTAATGGATAACAAAAAGCATTCCATACTGATAAATAAGTTACTAAAGCCTAAGATTTAAGTAGCTTCTAAAGAAAAGTAATATATAATGTATTCGTTATCAGCTTAAGACAAATCACAGATATTTACAGTGGTACACTAATCTTTCCATAAAGTATGCTCTAATTATCCAGTTACCTGGCACTCCAAACATACTTTCTTTTTCAGTATCAGGCTTGCTTACCTGATCCCTACTGCTGACCTCCCTTACATTTTCATGTGGCATCCTTTAATAGTGAATGAGTATTTCCCAATACCACCACTAAAGGGCTGCCTCTGTGCAGCTATTCTTTACCTCTCTTTACCAAAACCTGCTGAGCAGATATGCATGCCCATCCCATGCCAGGCACAGGTGACAGCCGAGGCAGGAATGGAGGCAGCAATGGAGGAGGAGAAGGGCATTCAGATGGGAGTGACCATCAATAGCAAGAGAGTCAGAGATTTGAGAAAGGTGGAAGTGTTTCTTTGTGCAGAGTTGCTCACTGTGACTGTTGTAGCACACTTTGCTGGAAGAGGCTGACAGGAGTAGTGCTAATCACAAATGCACTCAGTGTAATGACCCCATTCAGGCAGCCCTCGTTTTGATGTAAACCAAACGTGCAACCCGATGCTGAACAGGCTGAGAAGGCTGTAGCCTGGCCCCTCTCT